TGTACTGAATGATAGCGACAGGCCGAGAAATGCTGACCTAATAACGCGACCGCCTTTGTCCAGTTCGTTCTCAATCTCATTTGTTAGAGAGCAATGGCGTCTTCGGTCCCTAGTCCTTTTCTCTAAACGCATTGTCATGGATCAAGTTCCTCAGCGACCTTTTGTTCTATAATTGGCGGACTGAGATGTTCGAGGCACTTGAGCATGACAGCGGTCAGCGCGATTGGTCGGAATTTATCAAGGCCCTTGATCAATGTTCCCTTTTGGCACTGGAGTACTCGATGTCAGTCGCCATATATCGGGGATTAGAACGTGGTGAATGCAGTAGTTAAAAATATTGCTAATTATGTTGCATAATTCAACTGAAAAAAGTTTTAGCACAGAGTGATTGACTCCGTCGGAACCTGAAGCCGTGTTAAAGTGGAGATGAACAAGGCACCTCTGCATGTCATGAGTAGTGAATTGTACAAGCTTCCTTTCTCCGTCAGTCACTGAAGGACAGAAGGTGACTGGGTTTCGCCTGTCACTCTAGAATCGCAAAAAAATGGCGATGTAGCTCATTTGGATTCATCACAGTGTTCTTCGAGGCGAATCCTGCCTTCACTCTGTTGCATTGCGATTTAGTGTTTCTCTACAGATTGTTTTGATCCACGTTGGCGGACAAATATCGTAGCAAAACACTGTCTTGAGGGGATGTAACGCCTGCATTTCGGTTGCGACTTTCTGACGCACGTTCAAGCCAAGTGTTTGCATAATGCGGACAATGAAGAGGTCCGACATTCGGAAAGGAGCTGCCTGACGAGTGGAATGCATTTCGGGGATGTTCGAAAACACTTGATCGAGAGTCACATCCCCGCGAGTGTTGAAGTGCGCCAGATTCATCCGGCCAAGTGGCAGATGGGCTTCAAGACAGTGTCGACCGAAGTCTTCGGCCAAAATGATTATATTCTTCTGCACATCTGGTGACAAGAATGCTGTCAGCGAGTCTGCAAACCCTTTTAGATCTGAGGCGCTGCAATCGGGAGCAATGCAGACATTCCTTAATACTATATATTGAAACCAGAGTAAAAAACTTTTCCAGCGGCGAAGAATCATGCAGTCAATGCTGTCAGACTGGAACGTGAACTTCAGTGTTGGATGGGCATACCATTCACATATGTTAGGACTCCGCTGCAACATGTTTTCTTTGTAGGGGATCAATCCATCAGAAACGGTTCAAAGCCATTAAGCAACAAGACGGAGTCCTGTGTTTGATTGTTTAACCACGATTCGTGCAGGAGAACCACCGAGGCATTTGTAAATCCTCTCATATGAAGTCGCCTAAATCGTTATGTCTGATACCCACGAGCGAACATCGGAGGAGACATTGCAGAGCAACAGAAGGCTATCACGAGTGGTTTGCCAACCTGCACGGCGACCATGCCTTCTTCGATGTCGAGCGTCGTGCAAGAGAGCCGTTTCTGACACCTTGACTCCTTACTGTCAATACCACGTCGTGAAAGATGCTCAGAGATGAAAATCAAATGAAATACGAAAAATGAGGGAAGTTGAGGAAATTTATAATCTGTAACGGGCACCAGATATCGATATATCACAGTTAAGAAGCATAACAGTTCGCATCACGGACGCGGTCAAACAGGACGACCGCCGCTGCTTAGTTTTCCAACACCCTATTGGCTACAGCTTCTCTTAAAAACTGAACCCTATGAAATGCAGCATTTCGCTAGACGTTTGAGGAACACCTGTGTTAAAAAACAGTCAGCTGGTGGCAAGAGTCTTCACCATTCGTAATCACACTCTTCAACGAACGCATAAAACAACTGCCACCCAGTGGGGGGCTTCATGTCCGTGACTTGTGCTGTCTAGCTATAGTTCTTGTAAACTGAACTTCAATAGGAAGCAAACCGTCTTACCGGGTGAATGTTGATCAGCCAGGCATTGCGGGGCTCCCTTCCGACATACGTCTCGTAGCCGTATTTTTTGTCCATTGCCGTAGTAAACTGAAACCGCCGTAAACTCGACTCCGGTGGAGCACTCGAAACACTAAACAAGGCATAAGTTGCCTACAAATGCTTATTTTTTAACTCTTTTTACTTGGCTTTCAGTTCCATTGTCGGCGATTCTGTTCTAGTACTTCTGTTCTACTATGGGTTTAAACTGCCGCTGGGACAAGAGCACGTACGTTAAACGAATCCTACCGTAATTAAACTATTTACTAGATTTTCATGTTGGAATCTATAGAGAATTCAATTCAGAACCGCTTTCGATAAACTGTTTTATTACCAAACAAATATATTTTTTGCGGTCGTCACAGAATCCGTTGAAACAGATTTTTCATTCTGATACAGCTTTGGCATTTTCTGTTATAACTGGATTTATACAGTGTAGAAGTAGTGTCCCCTAGCTTCTAGCGGTCTCGGCGACCATTTAGGCAGTCCACGGTTCAATGGTATTTAGCACCTAAGATACATGGATACATCACTGAATATAGCCGAATAAAGTCCTGTTCGGACATATTCCGATATGGCACTATCCGTAGTCTTATTTATGCATCAAATAAACATTTATCTTATTGGTTGACTAGCATACTGCCAGTTTTCGATATCATCGATAAGAACATATCGCAGGTGTCCGAACAAGATTTTGTTCGACCCTGCTCAATGATGAGGTTTTGCATCCATGCACTTCATGGCTAAAGTGCCATGAATTCAAGGCCGGTTCAAATGGTACCTTAAAACTCTAGAAATGAGGTAACGTTGCTTCTCTATTGTATAAATCCGGTTGTAACAGACAATGTTATTTTCTGGCAGTATAGTAAATATATTGGATCGGTGTTCATATTTATGTAGAGGTACAATTTTATACTTATTTTAAGTTCTTTACCATGCATGTTGTAAAAGTAATGTTCGAGACCTCGCCATAGTTTCCTCTGATGTTAACTTGCCAAGGCGCTAATTCGCTAATTCTGTTCGTTTCGTCAAGGCGTACCGTAAGCAGAAAATACCATTGTCATCACTTTGGATTATAGTCCTTTTAAATCGTAAAGTGTCCTTAGGGCAGCACTTTGAAGAAATCGCTTGTTACAGGAGGTCCAGTGTCGCGTTTAACTTGCAGCGCTTACATTTTTTATGTGTTCGCTCACACGCACAACGGGAGACTTGCAGGCTTTATTGTATGAAAATGAGCAGGGAGTGATGCGTGGGGCCGTAACTCTTCTGTCCTGCGACGTGACCGATAGGTCGAAGGTGACTGGATCATAATGAATCGCTGATAGCAAGAAGATTAGTTTGCTGTGATCTTTCCTCTTGACAGATGAAGTCGCATCACTAAATAACGAGCAGTTTTCTCTAAAGATGCAGGGAACTCCTGAAGCTCATTGATATCGGATTGCAGCAAAATCAATGTCTCGGCTTCGTGCAGCAGTACTGATATGACGCAGGACTAATCGCTTCTAACCGTGGCGGTTTTATTGAAACGGCACTGTCTCCGGGTGTTGTGGAATGGCTTGATTCAAGAAAAAACGAGTCGGATCTTCATCGGTGGTCAGGCTACTACCCATTTCTGATACAAGTAGACGTGTTAAATGCGTTAATGTGAATTGCAGTCCAGAGAGGGCTCCTCAGGCAAAGTGGGCTTGTGTTTTGAACTCTTTGACATGACTACGCCATAGCGCCACGCTGCATCTATTGCTCGCAGGTTAGTGATCTGCTGCCCATTTTTCGACTGATTGCACCGAACAAAGAGATGTGAACTCCTTGTTGAAGAAAATTCGCAGTTAATGCGTTCTATGTCACGCATGGAGATTGTGGGTCATCATCCTTTTTGGCATCCTTTTACATCTGACTCACGATGTCCGCTCATCTCAACGCTGCATATTTTGAAATAAAGAGTAGTTTACCGCTTCGACGAAGAAAAAATTCCTTATCGACAACAAATTTCTGTTTAGTTTCCTCTACCAAATGATACGCTGGCCACGTTTCAGCTCCCATCTCCGCAGTTGTCAAGTGACTGAAGTTTTGGTCGCTTCCTTTCAGGAGGTCTGAAGAGGTCGATATATCCTAACTTTCGACCTCTGAACAACTCGAAAATTGGTTTGAGATCGACTAATGCAAGAAAGTTGTCATTCCTCACACTATCGTGTCGACGTTTCTTTAGCGTGCTTTTGCAACCAGCGTTGTTGGAGACTACCCATCCAATGCTTCTTCGCTTTAATAAGTGCAGATCTTTGCAGTTCGTAGATTAAAACTGTCCTGATAACATGTCGGATCTTGGTGGAGATTGTTACGCCCTTCCAGTTCACACTTTTGATACGCTGTGAAAAGTAAACGAAGCTTGCTCAATCTTCCTCCTGTCTACGTCATTGTCGCAATTACCACCATTCAATGACGGCGCCCAGGTATTTAATATGCTGAGCTTCTTCTATAGCGCTGTTTCCGTAGTACACCTTCGTTTTACTGTATCGTGAAGATTGAACCCATCACTTCAGCATTTCGCGTAGAAGTGTAATGCGAAATACTAACTAACGGCACCACGGTCGCAATGATTTGAAGATTTCCGCTGTTGTTCAAATGCTTCGTTGTCGCTCGAACGTGTCTGCCAAAATTTGATACTGACTCATGAAAATTTGTGTACTATATTGGGGAGACAACGTTGTCTTTCGCTGGATTGGAAGCGAAACGTGGACTAACTAAAAGACAGTCAGTAATTTCAGGCGCTTGTTCCTACCGTACTCATGGCAGAAATTGGAGACGGTTTGTTTATAGGACAGAACATGCTCGATTTCTCTAACGGGGAATCCATCACTCAGTAGTTTTCTCCAGAATAAAATCTTGATGTCACAACCAAGAGACAGAGTCAAAACCAAGAACACCTATGTTTAGTTCAAAACCCGAGCAGTTATTTCCCAATATGCCATTCAAGTAACCCACAATAACAAAAACGCTGCGATTTGATGTGGCTGCGCAAATGAGGACAGCTAATGGTATGACTAATTATCTTCATCCTCGAGGCTACTTTCGATTTGTGCACTACAACAATTGCGGCTCATGGTCGCGCCTATTTTGTAGTCTTGCATGGAAAAGAATGGACGATATGGAGTTGCATGCACATTTTGCCATTGATAGATTGTCTGACTTTAACGGCGATTCTATATAAGATTCAGTTCAAGATTATGTAACGATCACCCCTGGAGTACGAAATAACGGCGCCTTGCACCTGAGTTTGCACGATGTGTCATCTGTACTTCAGTGGCAACTTCAATACATGAAAGTTGAAGACGAGGACCATTTGGTTGCCTGACCCGTTTGAAATTTGAACGTTCTACGTCACAGACGAAAATTTTACATTAAATTAGGTCGCTTTTGTCCATCATTCGCAAATTCAAACTTGTTCATGCACATTCAGAGTAAATTTTACAACTTGCTAATCACAGGACTTCTACGGGGTAGTTAAAACAATAATTTTTTATCTGTCATCGCTGGTATTCCTGCTTGTAACTGTTAACGCACTGTTTTTCTGGTCGTCAGATATCCATCATTAAGTAGCAACATCAAATTTCACTTTCATCAAGGTCTATGAAACAAACTGAGATATTTGGTACGGCTTAAAAGTCGTGCTATTTAATTCGATGATTTTATTCAACGGTTTATTCGCTTATGCAACGTCTTCTCTCGCAGAAGCGTAGTAAAGGAGGTGTATATGAGAAAGTAACTTTCTTGGATGATATTTATTCCGTACCCAACGAACTGTTTGCTTCGCTCAAACTATCTCTGAAACTTGGCAAGGAATGGTAACATTGACACTGCTCAGCATTTAGTTTTGGCCGGAATCACGTTAACAATCCAGTGCGACCATATCATCTATGTGGACGATTCTTTCTGAAATCCTACTTGATTCGTTTATATCAAATTATCGAGATTATCGTTCAAGTTTAGAATGTTACCTGAGAAAAACAGTCTGCTTGTGCACTAGCTAAAGCTCGCAATTCCCCGGCAGTTTTCAGAATCGTGCTCTTTCAGACTGTAATGACAATCGAATGATCGTAAAAAGACCAAAGCTTCCTGGCCGTGACCACGAATTTCCAAATGCGCGCAAAATTGTTCAGAAGCCCAGCTGAATCCAATAGGTAATGCTTATTTTTTGCATTTCAGAATTTTGATATTTGCTTAAACTTGTCCAACCACTCGTATTTTCGCACATTCGTCTTACATCTAAAATTCCATTTATATGTAGCCTGCTGTGATGGATGCCACCGAATCTCGTGAATTCGATTCAGTCCTGATCAAGGCAGCAATGACTTTCACCTCAGTGATTGAACTATTGGATTGATCGCTGATGTCACAATTCAGCTGCAAATGTGTCTTATTGAGCCTCATATTTGAACGAAACGGATTGCTGCCAGCTAGTAGAAATCAAAAATACTGTCCTTTAATCAGCATCAACTAGACTCTCAGGTTGATCATTTCCGCACTGCGGCCATTTAAGATGCAGCATCTGATGGTATTACTATCAGTTTAGTAAACTCACGTACTGCAACTCAAGGATACTGCATTGTGCCTGTTTTCTGCAGGTCATATATGGATTAAACTGTCTGCATCGTAGCCCAACTACCTCATATTAGTGAGTCAACAGCTAGTGATACTAAGTGCAGTTTTGGAGGCGGTGGCACATTCGTATAAGATCGGTTTCTAATTCCAGATCTGCCATTTTCGAATTCTGAATAGTGCAAGCTTTTCTTAGTGGATGATTCTCCTGAGCAAAGAATTTACTCCACGTTGCTTCGGCGCATCGAGCATGTAAACGGGTAGTAAGTCATTGATTTGCGAAACAGCATGGTGTTCTAGTGCGATCATGCCAGAAACCGCCGTGCAATCGGATGCCAATAACTGCCGGAGCTGCAGTTCGCTTTGACACACAAGACTGCTGACTATCCAGTATCAATCAGCACAAAGTGCAGATCCTGTTTTCGTTTTTACTGCTGACTACCACGAACATGACATCTTACGCTTATACGGACGGCGACAGTTCAGATTCTATTGTTTCATTTGGAGCAATGCATATCACATTGATTTGAACCGTAGTTTTGCGAAACAAAGTGAGTGATCACTATGACCGAAAGGAATTTGATTTTCCTTAATTATGGCTATTTCTAACGCATCTGTGCCTGCCACCTATAAGCAATGAAATAAGACTTCGGACGCAGTTTCCGATATTTTACAACTAGACGGAACACGCACCACAACAGCAGCCAAAGCAGATGCATCTGATTCGTGGAATACTCTGACGTCGCTCCTACTTGCTTGATGCCGTTAGGTGCACGTACCTGAAGGTCGGCGTCGGCACAGTATGGGTGTCGTGCACTGCAACGAACGCAGTATTTCTACTGCTTGGTAGAAAGTGCTAACTGCATGCCCGCTCGGCTTCAAAATTCTCTTGCAACTTAAATTTGTTTACTTACAATCTTTAGGATCACGAGCAGTTTCTTCATTTATCTTTTCGACCAACTGCGCAAACTAAAAAAACAGCACTGCTATATAAAAACAGCGTCGACGTATACGCGGCATGAATCACGTAGGCGGCTGTCGAACATCATCTAGGCCGTTCGTGCTATCGTGCCAGAGACGGCTGCAGCCAGTTGCATCAAATGAAAATCACTGTTAGCCGATTCTGCTGTGGCAATTGTTGCGTACGAATATGAGTGCTGCAATGTCCTTCACGAACAGAGACTGGGGAATGATCGCCTTGGCCACGTTGCTGCCCTCTGGCGTATACTACGCCGTCTACAAATCGGATGATGGGAAAAAAATGATGCAATGGTGGCAAGTTAGTACCTTTAATTGTCACCACTTTTTGTTGCGTTAGCTGCTGTTCGCGACGCATAAACGGTGTTTAGATTTTGTTAACAGAGTGTTTTAAGATTTTAACCTTTCAGTTAGTCCCCTCTCCTGTCTGTGTTTTACATGGATAGAATAGTTAGACGCATAGAAACAAAAGTGGTATGGAGGAGATGCTGAGACGAGTAGTTTCCAGACGCTGATGAACCTGTTTTGTTGGCATCTTCCGAAGATGATCTCAACAACAGCGCTTTGAAAAGGTTCGCATCCGAGTATGACGTACCTAAAACCAAAAGCTTAATGATCCAGTTTCAGGATCATGTGCTCGCTGCGCTATGCAGATCAGCGGAGAAGCAGTGGAACAAGAGGAGAGGTTCACGTACCTTGGGGTCATGTTTACCGGTGAAAGAAAATGGGAGGAGGTGATCGACCAGCGGAATGGAATGGCCAGCGCCGTTCTGCTGAACTAACTCGAACCGCTGTGAGTAAAACAGCGCGCAGAACTGAGTCTGAAGACTAAGCTGTCTTTGTTCAAGTCGATTTTCATCCTAATGTTCATCGATGGTCATGAGTC